AGAAGAAGATATTAAAACAAACCCACGCGTATATTCGAGGAAAAAACTTACGCGCCGCAACTTTTTTTTTAAAGAGAAACTCAACGGGTTATATTCCCAGTCTTGATTAAAAATTCACAGACATTGCCGGGCTACTGTGGAAACGTGACGAACAAAAAAAATGAGCGCGCTCAGAACTGCCTGTCAGCAGGACAGCTTCAGAACTCCGTGTCATGAAATGCGGCCCCATACGTAGAGTGCCAAGCACGTGCCTGGAATGCAACACGTGCCAGAGAAACTGAGACCTTGGCTGGCAGAGGCAATAGTGCAAACATCCACTCTCTTTCTCAAAGGTCCCTTTTTTAGACATTCAGGCTTTTAGCATGCAGCGAGTAAGTTATGGGGTGGGAGGGGGGCATATTGATTAGTGCACTACACTATGAACTTGGCGACGCGAGTTTGATTTGTGGCCACTGCTAATGCACAGTGACGAGCGATAATGCCCGCGAACTTCCCGAACCCGAAAAGACCAGCGTGGCGGAGTGTGGTCGAGCAATTTCCACAACAGGCACGGTGTGGGGGAAGGCCTTAATAATAGCAAGGTGGTGTGGCCAGCTCCACTCCTGGCCACGTCTATCTTCACAGCTTTGGTGCTGATACACAACACATATTCTTCTAGGCTGAGTCAACCATTGGGGATGTCCAGACCCGGGTCAGATGCCACGTGCCACTGATGGTTTGTGGCCAGAAATTGAATCTGAATCATCAGGTTCTCAGCACAGTGTGCTAATCACCATGTGGCTGGAAAAAACTTTCCTTACAGACTGCATGGGCAAGTGTTATTTATATTCTATTCTGGATATATGTTCAGGAGCTCTATGCCAATGGGTCGGAGAATAATATAATTCTTACGGCCTACCTGTTACGTATAATAGAGTTTGTTGGGTTAGATCGCGTAAATATGAATGTATTGTTAAACCCACGACCACCCGACACAGCCAATTGGTAATGTTTGTCACGTAAACTAAACATGACAATTCGTTACTAGTTCAGCACACCGGTGTGCTAGAGAGTAAACCCACAACATATACAATTATGGCCACACACCATCAAAAACCTCTATTATTGATATTGGTTGTGAAAGCCTACGTGTTAAACCACCTTTTATGTGTTTTCGTGTCACCTAAAACACAACCAATGATGTAATTCAGGCCGGGTCTTCGAGTGTCAAAATATTAATATTGAAGGACTCTCAAGAAACATGAAGGGAAGACCACGTTGACGTCATCGCCTTACAGGAGACAAGCCCTGTGAGTGAGCAGTCTGCGTGGAGCCGGGATACGAATGGTTCACACACTGCAGGAGCATCACAGCAAAGCTGGGTTCGAACCCCAGCCATGGCTAACATGGTATTCACATCTGTTCAGGGTATTCCCTCGTTTGAATCGAGTAGCTGATGATGAGTTAGGACATCAACAATGGAGAAACAAAGATGGTCGGGAATGGTACTGTCCACACCGCCATTAATGGTTTGTTCACTTAAAAGCCTTGACTTTTTTACAGGATATGGCAACATCAATCAAACATACAAAGAACATGTCACTTTACCCACCCTTGCATGAAGTTTGATTGATACCTTTGGCGACCTTGAAAGATTACCCATTTGAATATGAAACATCGCCGGGGCAGTTATATATAATGATAGATACACAAAAAAGTTTTACCAAACAAGCCATCCGACGTAGAAACTTGATATCTTAGTTGCTCTCTCTCTCTCTCTCCAATATGGGTATAAACAAATGTACATCGATGTCAAACAAGTAACATTCAATGGAGTGTGCCACTCCGATTTCAACCACACTTTGAACGTTAACAGTTATATGGTAAAAGAGCCGGATCGGTTCAAATTAACGTGGCCCTCATGGCTTCTTTCAGGTGCAGTGGTGGCGAGATGTTAACTCCCTCGCCTGATATGTGGGCAGGTTGTGGGGTTGAGCGCGAGGCTGACGCCTGCTGTATATTCTTGGTTCTTTCGGCAAAGTCACGTAGATAGTGTTGCTTGTGTTGCGATCGAAACGTCGTGGGTTTTTTGCTTTTAATTTAGATGTTTTGTTTTCTATCTACGAGACTTTACCGAAAGAAGCAAGAATATAATTCCTGCAGTCACGAAAGTTTTAAGCCTGCTGTATATTTGGAGTTTTCATGTTCTCCCCGTGGTCACGTGGCTTTTTTCCCGGGTCCTCCAGTTTTTCCCTTCACATTTAGAAATTTAACTTTAGAGTTATTTGTGCTGCTATACATTTCCACGTGATAAGCCAATTTGCCGAGCTATCGTTTGTGGCCAGGTCGCTTCTGAAAAGGAGCTATATAGCTCGGTGGGCCTTACCTTGTGAAATGAAAATAGTTTAGTTCATGAATCAACCCCTCAATCTTCACATCATCCACTTCCCTGCACACACCACAGACTGTTCTTTAGCTGGTGCCATTGATTCTATTTACCATGGAGATCATCCCTCTCAACGTGACCAAGGTTTTGGAGTCCAACTATCCCCATTGGACGACCACATCAGCACCACCACAAGCCGAGGTCCCAACCACTGCTCCTGCATGTTGACAGAAACTGTCCGCAAAGTATCAGATGAAGCTTCGAGAGTTGAACGGAGTTCAAAAGAACTCACTAACAAACAGCATCTTGTTGTAAAATACTCAATGCAGAAGACCCCTGGGTTTCATCTTCCACGAAGCTCATGGTCGACCCTGAACCGCATCTTCTGAGCAAACAATAGCAGCTGCGGATAGCTGATGCACAAATCGAAAATTAAAAACTCTCCAGTGTGCGACTATGGTCATCCAGAACAGACCTTACATCACATACCGACGCAATGCCCCGATCCACAAATACGAAGGAGACATCGTCACAGCGGTGATACACTCCGCTGCTCCTTGCACGGTTAACTGGCACGACCGCCTGAAAGGGACATTCTAGCTGTTGCTCTGCATCTACATCAGTCATAGGAAAGAAGAAGAAGATTGTGCTTTTTAGGATCATCTGGATGCCCATCGCTTCTGGTGGGTGGATAACATCCGGAAGTTCCAGTCGCTCACTCACAACCACTTCTCTGGCTCCTCCTCTGTTCAAAAATGTCATCGAGTGTGCGGGCTTCACAGCGGGATGCGTCGTGTTACAGGTCTGAGTCACATCTCACGCCAGATCAATATTGATTCGAAGTGGGCATCTTCGCAAACAAAACAGTGATGCTAAGTCGTGGAGGACGGTGTGGATATGATGAGGCCACAGTTATCAGATGTGCTGCTTGCCACCCATATATCCACGATTGTTCCTCATCATTTTGAAAATGTGAATAAATCAGCCAATGGGCCATGAGGTCACGTGGAATTTCACCAACACGTGTTTTACCAGCAAGTGCTGTTCATGGTCGAAAACAAAAAATCGTGGTTTCAATTGGAGCATCACATTCCACGAAGGTTCCTTGTGAGCTGTCAATCTGGCGGCTTGAAGGCTTCAGGGCACTACGAGCGGTGAATCGCTCAGAGCGACAACACTCGCAGTTGGTACCACGTGTCCGCGCGGTGTGCTCCGCTCTTCAACAATGAAATAATTTCAATTTATACGTATATCTATATTTAACTTCTTTCGCACCATACAGAGCCAACTGTGCCAATCGGAGGTGCGGGATTTAATGTACGTTCATTTATAAACTAACTATGATTTATTGCTTTAATGACATTGTATTTACTTTACGTTTATCATCACCAATTTCTATTTGCTTTAATATTATGAAATATTTCATGTATTTAATAGCTAATTTGCGGATTTATTGGAGGTAATTCAGGAAAATTATTATTTACGGATGTATGTAGGCCATGTAGCGTCATCAAAGCTAATTGCATCCAACAACGCCGTTTGTTTGCAGCTCCGTTCCTGGGCCTCCCAGAAGTCGCCGCTGACTCATTCGGGAGATTATTTTAATCATCCAGCTCCTCAAGTGTTAACTATTGCACAGATTTACCTCCCTCCATACATGCGCGGTTGTAGATATCGATGTAAGCAACGTGATCATTGCATTTATATGTTGCAACGGTGGCTTTTGGCATTCAAACGTGGGAGTAAAAAAAAATGCACCATTTCATTGATTAGCATTTGCTCTTCAAGCTAAGCATATGCGTCGTGTTTTGTGTGTACGAATCAATGCTTTTCTATTCAAACGCACTGCGTGTAATGGGTTCGCATGGCCCCACTGGAACCTGCTGCATTCACCTAAACGTAAAACATTTATATCGATAACTTCATGAAATCGCGATCCTGAGTTTGGGCCAATTCATTGACCCGCGAGTGCGGTGAAGCATTACACCGCTATTAAAAAGGAATTAGCTTCGAAAGTTGGAGATTTTACATTCAAACTTCAGCCCTGCCTTACACACGACCTACTTCCACGGGTCAATGACAAGGGCATGCCACTGCACACACAAACAAAGACAGAGATCTCCCGCATAGCCGAAGCAGACTGTTGGGGAAAGCGCTGTTAGCGAGGGACCAATAAAGGCTGGCACGGCAACAAAAAGGTGGTGGGTGGCCAACACCACGCCCGGTCGCCTTTGTTTCTCTTGATGGTGGTGGTTACACACCGCACTGGCTACTGATTTGAGGCTGAGTTTACCTAGGGGAGGCCCAGAGCTGGTTCAGATAATCGTCACGAGTGTCGGCCTTGAGCGAGAATCGAACCCGAATCGTCAGGTTCGTAGCGCAGCGCCGCTACCCGTTACACTATCCGATAATGCACGCTCACCCACGCACACAAAGACAAAGATCTCCCGTATAATCTCAACAGACGGTTGGGGCAAGTGCTGTTAGCGAGGAGCACCTATGTAGGCCGGCACGGCACACGAGGGGGTGGGTGGCCAGCACCACGCCCGGCCGCCTTTGTCTCCCCAGTGGCGATGTTTATACACTCGTTTGAGGCTGAGTCGACCTACACGCACACACACACACGTGCGCTCACCAGAGCGAAGGCGCATCAGAGCCGGTGACCTCGAGGAAGTCGTATCCGCTCTCGAGCTGAAAGGAGGTGAAGACGAGTGACACGGTGTCGCCCGGCTCGCCCAGCACCAGCCACGTGCACTCGCCGTCGTTCTCGTAGTCGCCGGGGAAGCCGGGGCTGCTGATGACTCCGCTCGGCCCGAGCAGGGTCCCACCGCACGCGCCTTCCTCTGCTCGCACCGCAGAGACGTCGACGCAGCAGCGTTAACACAGGGGGGTCAACGCAGCGAGGTCAACGCAGCAGGGTCACAACAGCGAGGTCAACGCAGTGGGGTCAACGCAGCGAGGTCAACGCAGTGGGGTCAATGCAGCGAGGTCAACACAGTGGGGTCAACGCAGTGGGGTCAACGCAGCGAGGTCAACACAGTGGGGTCAACGCAGCAAGGTCAACGCAGTGGGGTCAATGCAGTGGGGTCAACACAGTGGGGTCAACGCAGTGGGGTCAATGCAGTGGGGTCAACGCAGCGAGGTCAACACAGTGGGGTCAATGCAGCAAGATCGACGCAGAGGGGTCAACAGCGAGGTCAACGCAGCAAGGTCAACCCAGCGGGGTCAATGCAACGGGGTCGATGTAATGGGGTCAACACAACGGGGTCAACGCAGCGGGGTCAACGCAGCAACAACATTAATGTGGCAGATTAACGCAGCAGAGTCAACACAGCAGCATTAACACAGCAACGTCGTTCGACGCGAATTTGATGCTCAAGTTAATTAACACAACTTGTTGAGTTACAAAGAGGCATGCCGTCATATCGTCGTCACTCGTGGGTGAAGGCCACCCCAAGCCTCCGTCCAGGCCTAGGGACGCATCCACAATACAAGCTGATTCTTCACAATCTCGCGACGCAGCAATCGCCACTACAAACAAGCCGACGTTGTTGCTCCATCTTCGAGGTAGATTCACTCTCGGTATATTCCCTGCTTTGGTTGCCTCTCTGTCGTTAGTCTCAACCACCTACTGGTGAAGTGTCTTGCCCTGAGTCACCTCGCTTTCCTTAACAGTCGATATGCTGTCCGCCCCACGGACAGACGCGGGGGAAATCACTGCTCTACAGGATTCATATCGATGATAAATTCGTTTGGCGCATGTCATCATCAGCATCATCATCACGATGCATGGGCAGATAGGCCAGAGGTGTCCACTGCGCATTTAGCAATTTGTTTCCACTTTCCTCTGTCTTGTGCCAATATGCTCAAGCAATTCTCTTGGCGCGAGTAGATTATTTAAAATGGTGTGGCTTTGCTCTCCAACGCACCGGTGTGCTGTACTAGTAACGCATTTGCATGTTCTGTTTACGTGACAAACCTTACTAATTGGCTGTGTCGGGTGGTGGCGGGTTTAACGACACATTTATATATTTACGCGATCTAATCCAAACAAAACCTCTATTATGGATGATATTGGTCGCGAGGGCCTACGTGTTAAACTAGATTATTTAAATTTCGATTTAAAGCTTTCGTGACTGCAGGGATTCATCTTCTTGGTTCTTTAGGTAAAGTCACGTAGAATGGAACCAAGAAGGCTAGATTATTTACTTGATAAATCTTGTTTTTTTTCTCCTTTACGTTCTTCCTTCTCTCTTACCTTCCCTTCCTCCTATTTATTTGTTTAAAAAAAATCTGTAATCCTGCTCGCAGTCTCTACGCAAGTGAGGCAGTGAGTCCAATGTTCTCACTCTAGCCCCAACCCGTGAGCTTTGTGTTTCGGGCTTCTGCTCGCAGAATTTCTGTGACCCCCGCTACCCTCCCCCTGCCCCTGTTATTGTCCGCGCTCTGTGCCGGGCTCTTGTCGAATACGAAAGAAAATGAAGAAAAACAACAACAGTCAAGATGAAGTCTCTAACTTATGTACTTTCTCGAATCATCGTGTTCCTCTTCTCTGTCACTCAGTGGTAATTCCAAGCGTAGACATGCTCCATTACTTGTGTTTTATTTGGCAAAACGTCCACGGTTTGGTTCCATTGTTTTTGTCAGTGCCCACGTTTCTGATTCATGTCACAGAAGCTGATATACGCCGGCGGCATAACTCCCACCGCGTGACTCAATACGTCAATGCAGTAAAGTCGCTGAACGCCGCCAAAGCGACGAGCCTGAAACGTCACACTCCATGTCAGACAGCCTGGAGATACACAGCCTAGCTACATATCAACAACATGAAATCCATTTATTTTTCGTTTTATTGCCGATTTCCTGGATGGACTCTGCGGCGTAGTTCATGCTTCTCCCCGCCACACTCAGTCCTCACGTTAACAACTGGGCAGCGACGGGTACGGGCACTCTACTCTTTGGTTCTTTCGGTAAAGTCACGTAGGTATAAAATAAAATAAATCACGACGTTTCGGGCGCAACACGACGTTTCGGGCGCAGCCTCAAAACGTGATTTAATTTATTTTATTTGATACCTACGTGACTTTACCGAAAGAACCAAAGAGTATGGATCCCTGCAGTCACGAAAACTTCAAATCTTCGTACGGCACTCGTACGCGATACCCCACGGCTGCTCGCCAACGAATCCATACTTAATCTACTCACCCGCCGAATGGATAATAATCAGAATCAGAATATGTATTTATCCTGGAGGGATCCCATGAGCTATGAAGGCAAATTTTCCACAGATGTCCAGCAGGGGCAGGTCAGAAAGTTGCAACAAACAACATAATAAACTGATACACAGGCATCGCCAACAGCCCTACTCCCACCCAGAGCAGCATCGGAACTCCCAGCCTTCTTATTCTCCCTTAGCGGCGAGCCTTAAGGAGAGCTATAATCTCGGTGTCAACCCGCTGAGTCCCTCAATGGATGACGGCCCATAAATCAGAGTCGAGGACTTCAGTGCTGCCAGTTCACGTCACCCGACACAGGCTCCGGCGTTCTCCCTGGAAGCTGCCCTGCCACCCCCCCCCCCCCCCGAGCACGATATTATATGGTCTTCACCTTTTGTCAATGCACCCCACGGCTGTGAACGCAGCACACCGCTGCCGATAGTGGGAAAAGGTATTCAAGGGGTATGCACAGTCCTTTGAATGAAAAAAAAGGTCCCGTTCCCGTAGCGTTCCACTTTATATTTCTACAGCAGCATCGTATTTGTTGATTTAAAAAAGAAATGTATCCCTCTCCTTGGACGGGAGCATATATATATAAAAGCTGAGGCAATAGATTCGTTATAAAACTTTTAGCAGCTTTATTTGGCATGCGCGCGTGTGCACGAGTGTGTGTGTGTACAAGTGCGTACGCGTCTCTATATATTTTATTTTATCGGGCAATCTCTTTTTTTACCCCAAGTTTTTATTACAAATCGTGCTCCGTTTAAAACAATCTTAAAGGGTTCAAAGTTTCCTTTTGTGTGACAAACAATGTGCTTGTTCAATTTGCTTTCTCAGACATTTGGGCAGGCAGGCAGGCAAACAGATCTATTGACACACGTTGACATCAATGCCCCCACCTACCAGGGCCAGCGATAATGCAGCCCTGCATTAGCAATGCAACGGATGAACACATTCCATGTCGTGCAGAGTGTGCCGGCGTTCGCGTGTCAGCATCCGGCGTGACGGGAGGATGTCTTTGGCAGCTCATGAAAACAAATGAGCACTTGCTTGGGGCAGAAAGATGCTTTGGTATGGGACTGGGTTGTAGAATGCAGTACAGCAAGTAGAACATACGTGAATAAATACAAATTTGAGCTGAGCGCTCATTCCAAGCAGGGCTTTTCAAACAATAAGCCCTGATATTCATATTTTTTAGATCTTTCGGTAAAGTCACGCAGATAGGCTCAAAGAGAATAACAAAAAATAACATTACTCTTTGAACCTATCTACGTGACTTTACGGAAAGACCCAAAGAATATAAATTCCTGCAGTCACGAAAGCTTTAAGCGCTGATACTCAGTGAGACTTTGTTATGTATTATTGTTATTTACAAGTGACTTAGAATGCAGTGTTCATTTCTATATATTTTTTACGGTGCTAAATCTTACTTTATTAGTTTCGTATACAGTATTTCAAAGATTGTTGAACAGGCACATCCATAATCGAGTTTCTATTGCAATCGATCTACCTCTGTCACGTCAAATATTCACCAAAAAACCATGAAAGTCATCACTGTGGGTCGAATCATTAGTTCCTTGAAGCTCCGGTAGGGCTTTGTGAGATAAATTCGACATTCCTATAGAAGGGACTATGTTTTATTCCATGGGCGGGGAAATCACAGCTAACTTGCCAACAAGTACACAGACAGAGTCTCAACAACAGGTGGTGTGTGGCCGACTCCAAAGGGTTGTGAAGAAGACGATGACCTTAAATGAAAGTGGTAAGAACCAGGCTACAGTCTGCGTAAGTGTTTTTTATTATTTTTTATTTTATTTTAATTATTTCTATTCACTATATTTTTATTATAATTTTTCTATCTAGGTGACTTTACCGAAGGAACCAAAGAATAGTGGTAACATCGTAACATGATGTCGATCTTATCCTTACGGAATTTACATAGCGTCCTAAACGAGGGGCTTTAGAAAGCATTCACAACATTGGAGACGAGGTGAATGAAATAGATGATAGGAAGCAATGGGCTCATCTGTGATGCGTGAATTCTGTGAAATGCGAAATTGTTGATGGTAAATGATGATGAATGGATTGAATGAATGGAGAACGAGTGAAAGTCATGAGAATATGAAGAGGGAAAAGCAACGATGGCGGTGGTTATGAGGGGGAGATTGAGTGGGGTCGTAGCGTGAGCTCAGGAACAAGAAGTGAGTTTTGAGTGAGGAGCGGAATGTAGCGGTGGAATCTTCTTGGTTCTGTCGGTAAAGTCACGTAGAAGGGAAGTAATAAAATAATAAAAAATAAAACATAATAAAATGAAATAATTCTCACGACGTTTCGGCTACAACGCAAGCAGCCGTCTTCAGGTAAATCGAAATCTAGCGGTGGAAGTTTGCTCGAGTGAAGGGGAGAGAGAAGAAATAGAGAGAGAACGAAAGCGTGAATTGAGCACACGGAGAAGGAGGAACAAAGAGAGGGACAGCCACGATTAAGAAAGTAGAAGGCGAGAAGGCGACACGTAGAAAGATACAAAAGTGTCAAGATATGGTGGGGCGAGATGAGGACAATGATAGTGAGTGGAGGCACACGACGTTGCGATAACAAAATCTTCACGAGATTTATACTATGAGACC